GCTCCCTTTAAAGACTTAACTGACTAGGGATTGAAAAATCTGATTTGAATTTGCATGATGCAGACAATTTTGGAGCTTTAGACAATGTAACAACTCTTTTTAAAACATAAAAAACACGGGCTGGGGAGATGGCTTAGTGGAATAAGCACTTCCCTGGCAAGCGCAAGGGCCTGAGTTCAATCCCCAGTTCCACCAAAAAAACCAAAAAACAAACAAACAAAAAACAAACAAACAAAAAACCCCCAAGAAAACATAAAAAACAGGGCTGGCTAGATAGCTTAGTGGACTAAAGTGCTTGCTTAGGCAGGCACAGCAATTGGGATTTGATCCCCAGTGTGCCATGCTGTGCCAGCCACACACCCAGGGTGTGCTGAGACAGCGACTGAGACTGGGCATGGTGGTGCATGCTTATAATCCTAGCACTTAGAAGACTGAAAACAGGAGGATCATTACGAGTCCAATCTGCGTAGTGAGACCCTTTAGACCCTATACTAAATACATTTAAAAAAAGAAACTTAAAACATAAAAAACAATTCAAACTCATATTCTCATTATTCCTTCTCATGCTCTCACCCAGCTGGGCTTGGTGGCTCACCCTATAATCCCAGCTATGAGGGAGGCTGAATCAGGAGGTTCCCAAATTTCAGGCCAGCTGGGGCAATTTAGCAAAATACTGTCTCAAAATAAAAAAAATTAAAAGGGCAAAGATGCATCCCAGCAGTACAGCACTTGCCTGGCACATGTCAGGTTCCCCAGTATTTAGTGAAAATAAAAAGTAAAGGAAAGAAAAATAAAGAGAGGTAGAAAGAAAGGAAAGGGAAAGGCCACGCATTTTCACCAGATTTGCTTGTCTAATTAGTATCTGCTGCCACCTACAGGTCAGAGCTATTTGACTATCATGGCTGAGTGCTCCACAACAGCCACATCCATGGAAGTGGACCAACTGGGGCAGGAGTGCAAATAACCATTCATCATTTTCAGTTTTTTTTGAAAGATAAACCAGTTTCTCTTTTTCTGTTTCATTTTGCTATTAGGTTTGAGCCCAAGGTTTCACACACTAAATGTGTTACACTATAGTCCCTCATCTAATTTTCTTGTCTAGAAACTTTAGGAAATCGCTATTCTCAGTAATTTTTTTTTGTTATCTGAGAAGGGCATGGTTTTGCCTAACATGAATATAGCTGATTCTCCTTATCTTGATTTATTTTTATCTTACTGGAATGTTAGGTAAAATCTGAGGTCAGCAGTTGGGGTATACAGATACTGGGTTCCATACCCAGAACCAGTCTCCCCAAAACACACTCAAACACACTCAAACACACTCAAACACACACACACACACACACACACACACAACCAAAAAGAAAAATCCCATGCCACCACCAAAAAGCCAAAATCAAGAAACCATTAAAAAACCTTCTAAGACTTCTTGGCATTTCAGGTTTCTAAAACCTAGTTTAAAAATTTTTGAATACTTTCATTCAGTCTTATTTTATCTCAAAATAACTGAGATAGCCAAAGATGAAGGGGACACTGTTCTCTGTGTTTGAGGGCAGGTGTCTCAGACCCTCACACATGGAAAGTGTCCTAAGGTGTGGGTGGCAAGGGGACAGGACAGGCAGGGACTGTGAGAGCTGGCATTCAGCCCCAGGGCTGTCACACTCTAGTCATCTGTGTTCTCACCTTTCAGGCTGTCACTGTCTTTGTGGCACAGGTGGGGCAAGTACTGTTATCCCCATTCTACAGACAAGGCCACCAGGAAGAGGTCTACTGGCCAAGTTTATATAACAGCTAATTAGTAGCTGGAATAAATATGACCTAAGGCTTTTTTTTTTTAACTCAACATTTACTTCTCTTCCTACCAGCTTACACATTTTATAAATTTAAGAAAATCTTGTGGCTAGGATGGTAGTGCATACCTGTTGCCCAGCACCCTAGGAAGCTGAGGCAGGACTGCAAGTTTGAGCCCAGTCTGGGGAGTTTACTGACCTAGCAAAACCCTGTCTCAAAATAAAAATAAAAATAATAATAATAAAAGGGCTGGTGATGTAGCTCAGTGCCAAAGCCCCATGTTCAATTCTTAATACCACAAAACAAAAGCAAAACCTAAAAAAAAAAAAGACCTTGGAAAACTGGCACAGTGGCTCAGGCCTACAATGTTTGCTACTGAGGAGGCTGAATCAGGGCCAGAATGGGTAACTTATCAAGACCCTGTCTCAAAATAAAATTTAAAAAGGACTCTAGCTCAGTGGTACAGTGCCCCCTGTGTTCCATTGGTAGTACTGCGATAAAACAATTGCATTTATTTGCTCAATTATGAGCTTTGCTACTTATCAAGCCTGGAAATGGGAACTTATTTCAATAAGAATATTGTTTGTAGAGCGTTTAAAATATGTTTTTACTGAGCTGGAGTATAGTTCAATGGTGAGTGCTCCCTTGCATGTGTGAGGCCCTGGGTTTCATCCCCAGTGCTAAAAACATGAAAAAAAAGTTTTTATTGAAGTAAATATCTAACAGTAAAACACCCACATCAGAAGAGCATAACATGCTAAGTTCCTACAAATGTAAATACCTGTTTCTGGACATTTTAATAAGCTACACTATTTTGTGTGCTGGTGCTGGGAACACAACCCAGCACCCTGTTTCTGTTAGGTGAGTGTTCACCACCAGGCCACATCTTCAGCCTCAATTTGTTTTTGTTCTTTTGAGACACGGTCTCACTATGTAATCCAGCCTATCCTTGAACTTGGTGATCCTCCTGCCTCAGCCTCCGGATGCAGGGATTACAGGTGTGTGCACCATGCCAGCCTTCCAGCCTTGGTCTGAAGTTTAGGTGTGTCTTATCATCAGTTCAAACTGGGGATGTTCCCTTGGGACACAGGCAGTATGGGGGAGTGAAGTGCCTTCATTCTTAGCTGCTCACTTGGCTCACCTTACCAGCCCCAAGCCCAGTTGTTGGCCGTGGTTCATCTGCCTGGCTGTTCCCGTGCCTGTCCTCAGCTCCTCTGCAGGCCTGGTGGCAGCCCAGCAGTGGAAGGACCTTGACCTCAGTTGTAGGGGGAGGTGCCCCTTCCATCAGAATTCTGTTCACTTGGACTTCAAGGCCCTGGGAACTTCCTCATAGCTCGAGCCACAGCACCGCCATCCTGGGCATCCTGTTCTCAAGTCACAAGGCAAGGGAATCCTGACAGCCCAACACAGCAATAAAGAAGTTTCACTGACACAAACCAAGTGGGCTATGGTGGTGCCAAACTCTAAATTTTCCCCCTCTACTAAGTATAAAAAAAAGTGAGGCATCACTGGTATGGGGGACACCTGAGGAGAATCCCAGCAGTCTGGAGCCTGAGATTCTCTGACGTGGTACCACACTTGCCTTGGGAAGTGGGACTGGCACTGCCGCAAAGCCCTAACATAGCACTCACACCATGGAGACCGCCTCCCTCAGAAAGCTGGAGCAGGAAAGAAGGAGGACTTTGTAAATACTTGTTAAAATGCTGTGATACCACCCACCTCCTCCCTGGTTCCTGTTTCTTCACCAGCCAGGGGCAGCACAGTCTCTCCATAGTGTCCCTAAGGAGCCAGAGGGCGAGGACAGTCCAGAGGGACCCCACTGTGACACGGGACCTCAGGGAGGGGAGGCTCTGGGAGCACTGACAGCACTCAGTACCCATACCACCTCCTCCGTCTGAAGTTCAGCACCTGCTCACCTAGCCACTGGGAAGCCTGTGTGTAGGCATGGGGACCTGTCTCTCACCCAATAACTCCTCTGTGGCCAAGTAGGTGGGGTTTTCCCTCACCATCGATGCCCCAGCTCCTTATACAACAGCCACACAACCCACACTCACGGCAGACACATCCATCTGGTGCACCTCCTGCCCACAGTGAGGAAGCTCAGGCTACACCCAGCTAAGCAGCTCTAATAGGGGTTCCCATAATGCCTCCCTCTGGGTGATTACATGCATGATGGCTCCCCAAACTCAGGAAGGCACTGGACTTACCAGCACCAGGTCCTGGGGGTACTAAGCTCACAGCACAGAAACTCTCTGAGCCCAGTCATCTTAGAGTGGGTACACTACCTGGGTCTAAGAAGGATACTGGTGAGAAACTGAGGTGGGGAGGAAGGGAGCTAGGACCGACAGCTCAATCCTCTCTTCACTGGGTGGTTCCAGTGGAAACCAGTCTTTACTTTGAAGCTATTTGGGACCATTGAGTCACCCAGGGCTGGCGTGCAGCCTTGTATGTGCAAAGACCTGAGTTCCCCTCTCAACAATGCACACACACACACACACACACACACACACACACACAAAGGCACCTTGCTGGTATAAACATGAGCTCAGGTGTGGCTAAAAGGGACTTGGTAGCCCTCAGGAACATCAAGATTCTGTACCGCGAATTGATGGAAAGGCCAAATACAAAATTCACTCTCACTGTATCCTGAAGCATTGTTTGCTTATTGGTTTTTTGGGGAGTGAGGACATGACACTCTTTTTCACTTCCCACAGTCCCATCTTAGGGCAGTCACAACGACCACAGTCCAGGGCTAAGAGGCTCCGTGGCAGGGACCACCAGAAAGCACAAGTACTCACTCACCGGTTTCTGGAGGCGGCCAGCAACATACAAGTTATTCCAGCCCAGCAGGTCTTCAATCAGGGCACGAGTGCTAATCACCCCATACTTGATAAGCTAAAGAGAAAAGATACAGGCATGAAAAACAGTAAAATATCAGGCTGCTGCTCACACAAAATAAGATACAAGGACACAAACGAAATTCTTAACCAGACAGCAACTTAATTTCCAAAGTCACTCAAAATGCCTACCTGTGTCTCAGCATTCAGGAGGCTGAGGCAAGAGGGTGTCTGTAAGTTCGAGGCCAGCCTGGGTCACACAGTGAGTTCAAGGACAGCCTGAACTACACAGTGAGATTCTGTCTCTCAAAAAACCAAAAACAACAAAACTCAAAAACTCTACTGTGAAAGCTCCCCCTCCATCAGGAACCTCAAGACCAGCCTGGCCTGCAAGGCATGTGAGGTTAGGTAAGGACCTTAACATAGGTCCAAGGGATGCTAAGGCAGAACAGCTTCTAGACATCATGCAGTGCTGTAGGTCCTCATGGACTACAAAGGAAAGAAACCGGTAATTTCCCCAAAGTCTGAGAAGTAAGAATTTAGTTCACGCTCCTCATTTTAGAAATACGAAAATGAGGCCCTGGAAGAATAAGTAATATACTTAATATGACACCAGAAATGGTAAGAGTTAAGCTAGGTCCTAGAGCTGGGTGCAGTTCCAAGTCTCTGTGGTTCCAGCTACTTGAGAGGCTGAGGCAAGAGGGGTGCTTGATCCCAACAGTTCAGGCTCAGCCCAGGCAGAGAAACATGGGGAATCCCTACCTTACCACCCCCACACCACACCCGGCTCTTAGAACTTCAGTCTGGTTGTCTAAAGTCCCCTTCATTACAAAGTACCAGAAAGTTTCTTTAATTAAAAAGTTTTAACTGTCATCCTTCACAGTTAATTTCCCTGTTGCTGTTGACTCTTTAAAACATTTCTAATTATAAATCAACATCCAAAACTAAAACCTTTTTATCAAAGCTAAAACACATGGAATTATGGTCAGGTTCATTTCCATAACAACGTGCATAAACCCTGGAAATAGATTTCCCAGGTTACAAAGTTGTATTTGCATAAACAAATGTCTTCAGACCCACTTTGCTAAATTTCAATATCAAAATAGCTTTCTTGGGCTGTAAACACCTAAAAAGTAGCTAAGGAATAAAAAATAACATATAGCCCTGGTGACATAATGCCCAAATATTTGCTCACTGGAGCTTGAAATGTTTGAAAATTACTAGAGATAAACTCATCATACTATTAATCAGGAAAAGTGGGGGTGGTGGCTCATGTCTATAATCCCAGCATGTAGGAGCTGAGGAAGATTGCAGGGAGTTGGAGACCAGCCTGGGATACAAGGCAAGACGCTGTCTCAAAAGAGAAAAATAATTACAGAGAAGAATACAACTCTCTATTTGTGTGGCAGAAGTGACAGAATGTGTTCAGGAAGTACCCTTCTCCTTTTGTCTGGCCACAGGACTATAGAGGACCCTTTTTGCTGCAGGCAGACAGCAGCCAATGGAAGCACTACAGGACAAGAGGCTGCTAGACTGCTCCTCCTTTGAAGCCTGATTTCCACCTCTGCCCAAGGCAGACAGACAAGGTCAGGCCCCTGACCAGCAATAATGCTGGCACGGCAGGTGGGGCCTGGATGTCAACCCCAACCTGCCTCACCTCCAGGAGGCATCTGTGTTAGGTCCTCCTGGTACCTAGGTCTTGTCAGCTGGGATGCTTCACTTGGTTTGCTTTTTTTTTTTTTTTTAATCAGTGCTGTGGATTAAACTCAGGCTCTTGAACAACCCAAGCAAGTGCTCTTCTACTGACCTGTGAGCCACACTTGGGTGGCTATGCTGGGCTGTCCCAGCCACAGAGTTTCACCTAAAGCAGAGATGTGGGGTTCATGTTGCCAGGTAACCCCCAGGCCCCTTACTTTCTCTCCAATACCTTTCTGTCAAATTCGCTTCCAGCTACCTGACAGCGTAACTTCCAAATTCTTCAGTGTCTGCTCCTCCTTATAGACAAGACTCATGTCCACCTGCAACTCAGTAGGAGAGCCTATTCCTCACACTACCCAATCCAGTGGTTCTCAGCATGGTTCCCAGACCAGCAACTATAGTATCATTTGGAGGATGGTTAGAAAATCAGGTCTCCAGCTGGAAGTGATGATGCACATCTATAATCCCAACCCTCAAAAGGCTAAGGCAAGAGAATGACCTTGAGTTTGAGATCAGCCTGGACCATACAGTAATTTCAAAATGAGTTTAAGGCCAGACTCAAGCCTATCTCAAAGAAACAAAAAACAAGAAAATCAAATTCTCCAGCCTACTATAGTAAATATAAAACCCCAGAGACCTGCAGTTTGTGTGTCCGAGAGATGACAATTTGAGAACCACTTGATGAAAGGGCAGAAAAAAGTCACATCCAACCACCTTCTCAAACTGCAATCACAGCCAAAGAGGAGGAGAGGACCCCATGTCCCCTGTCCTTGGGTTCAAGATATCCAGCCAGTGTCTGCTGGGGCACACACACACATACTTCACCAGTATTCTACTATTCAAAGTAAAACAAACCCAAGTTAAGGCAAAGAGCCAGTCACTTACCCTACCATCGCACAGGATCAAGGGATTGTAGTAAACTCTGGCGCCATAGTTATTCTGAACTGAGGTGATTATCTTGGGCCCCAAAAGTTTTAGGAAAGAGTAGTGGCTCCAATTCTTCTTTAGGTTCTTTGAATGCCAGGCAACAGGGTCATCTACAGTGAACACGAAGTCCAGCATGGCATTCTGTCAAAAATGAGGTCACATTACCTCAGAAACGCAGCTAAATGAGAGCTCTGAAATACCTGGCTACTATGATTAACAGATCTAAGTTTGGCATTGGAAATTTAAGCAAGCCTCTGGCACCAACAAGAGTTTTCTTTTCATCAACACTTAATGAGTATTGTGCCAGGACTCTTCTAAATGCTTTACGTGTAATACAGTAACTCATTCTGTCTCTGTAACAATACTAAAAAGCAAGTCTACCCTTAGCCCTATTTTACAGGAAACCAAAGCCCAGGGTAAGCGTTTGGCCCAAGGACACAGAAGTAGTGAGTGCCACCAACTAGAGTGGCCCCAAATCCTGTGTGCTGAGCCCTTCTGCTACACTGTCTTTCAGCTAAATGTAGGAAAGGTGCTCCACTTGGCTCCCGGCTCAGATTAACTCAGTTGAGCAAACTCTCTAAAGTAGCATGTAAAGGGAGGTAAGCTACTCACTAAGCACTCATGAAGTAGCTCAAACGCCTTTGTTAGCTCTTAGTGTGGAAACTCAAAGTCAACAGCAAAAGACACAATTTATTACTACAATAAATTGGGAAAGGGGCTGGAGAGATGGCTCAGTGGTCTAAAGCACCTACTTAGAACAAGCTTAGCAAAGCATCAGGGACCGCGGTTCAATCCCCCAGCACCACAT